AGCCACACTGGGAAAGAAACGGAAGCATTTGAGAATGCACTTAGGTTCGGTCTCAACACCTGATGAAGTGCACTCGGAGGTGATGCCATTTGTTGCCATTAACGGTTGAATGGCGGGTGATTGGCACCTGGCGGTGGGTTCAACGGGTTCAGTAAACAGCGTCACCGGAAGCGTTGAGGGACCACGCCTAATTCTGAGCTCAACCTCCCATCCCAAGCTAGTGGACTGCCACAATTTCGTATGCCGCATCACGTACGCAGGCACTGTGGGAAAACTTGAGAAAAGAATGAATTCAGGGGTAGTACAGAGAGAAAGACATGTATCATAAAGGCAATACACGAAAATTAAAGATCAAGCAGTAAACTAAATATCTGTTACCACCTATTTTCCATTAATAAAGTTTTCTTTAATGCCATTTTAAATCCTTTATTTAATTTCCATCTTTAGAGCCCAGTGTAATGACTATTTTTTCCTCCGTGCACCCACAACTAGTGACACCAGAAGCCATGCAGCGGCATTAATAGGCAGGAAAAAAAATGCAAAATGCTTAGACGTGCCAGGCCAGCTACCGAACAACAGCAGCAACAACAGCCGATTCCAAAGCCTTTGTGTGGCATGACCACCGTTGCGTATGAGTAATGTGCGGCTTTCGTTGCCCTCGTTGTTGCTGTGGTTAGCATCTATATGTCCGTCTGTCTGTTTGTCTTGGCAGTGCGAGTATGAGATTGTGTGCGGACCAGAAAGTAGTTTTCAATTAGCTCAGCCCTGATGGCAAACCCCATTGAACAGCTCTGAGTGCCTTGTTTTTCGCACTTCTTTCGAGGGTCTAATGAATTGGAGCTTCGGTTGGATTCTGACGCACCACAAATAATGGAGAAAGGAGGAAGTCATTTCCAACTTCCAGCAAAAGTGGCCTAATTTGATTTTTACGCAAATACAAATGAATTATTCTGTTTGAATCGCTGCATAATTTTTCGACCGAAATCCAATTCTTAATTCGTTTAACTTTGCTCAACATATTCAATTTAATTTCGATTCCCCGCAATGTAATAATTTATTTAGAGGGTTCGGCCTTCGTCCTTAGAGCAACTCTCGTTCCTCTTCCTTGATGGCTTCGGTGGCCAAGTGGAGTTGCTGCTGCCCAAAACAAGTGCAAAAACAGAATCATCTGCAGGAATCGAATCGCACCCGGTTGAATGAACAGTGGCTGGATTTGGGAGGCAGGCAGTAAGGCAGACAGACTCCGGAGTCCGGACTGCGGCACATTTGTTTTCATCGGAAATTGGCAAGTGAAAGCTTTTAGCACGAATTGTGCGAGGCAATCGCTAAAAATGGAGCACGGACAAGAACTGCTTACTTTTCCTTCTATCTATCCTTTGCTGCCGGTCTTTAAGTTTTCGAAAGGATACTCTACACTTTAGAGACTGTATGGGGTTTTAAAGGATATGCATCGATCAATTTTCTTTAAATGTTCTTGAATGCTTCACAATATTTTAATACTTTGTTTAATTATTAACTTCACCTTATTCTTGTATACCCCTAAAGGGCATCCTCAATGTGTCATTGAAACCCCCTAAATTTCGTATCCTTTGGCCACCTGTTTGGACTGGTCGAATAATTTCCCGCAAAATGCTAAGCAGATTACTTTTAATGCTACAAGCGTAACGACTGCGGCAGTTAAGTTCTCCGTTCGTTGCCGCGTCCCTGGGAAGTGCAGCAGTAAATTTTTTAATGGCTTTTATGCCCTGATTCTGAACGTTAAATCAAATTCCGGCTTACCCAATCAAGACATCAATTTCTCCCTTTATCCGACAGTGGGCCTCTGCCAGTTGGCTGTGATTATTTGGGCATTGACTTCAATTGACTCCAGGTCACCGGGGGGTAGCTCCTGTCCTGGCAGCCCCTTGATTAATAAAGCCACGGGCCATCGTCGAATTTGTTTTATTCATAAATTTATAACCATCGGCCGTAACGAATGGCAGCGGCCGTTTGCCAAATGTTTTATTGCGTACATAAATTGCAATTAGTCCCGGCTCCCGTTGGGATAAATGGGAGCACACGCATGTCCCCCTCTGGTTCCGATGCCGTCGGGGAGTCACTGTGCCACTCGAATGACGAACTGCCCGAAAGGCTAACACACCATCCGGCAAGGACCGCCGTCCCGGTGGGTTAACAAAACATCAATTGACTTATTAATGTTTGTGCAGGCCGTCAGGAAAACCAGGCCGACTGCGTAAAAACTTGGCCAACCAAAAAAGAAAAACAGCCGCACGGGCTGGGGCGCCTCAATTGGTTTCATGTGGCGTCCGTCGGGACACTTTGGGAGCCGCAGTCACGTCTGCATTTAATGTGAAATTATGACTTTAATGGCCGCTCGGATATACAAGAAGAAAATTAGTATTTACCCAAACTGTCTAATTTTGTGTACATTTTTGGGGGTCACTTTAATTGCAGACAGAGGTCAGTCAACTTTTAAAGTGATCTTTAATAATAATTATTTTCCAGACAGACAAAGATGCGTTGCCGATAACTGTAATAGAGTAACCTTATTCTTTTTCTTTCAATAATATTAAAAAGCCAAAAAGCTGGTCATAATACTTAATAGTCTTATACAAAGTCGTATACCACATTTAAATGAAGCTTATAACGATAATTTTAGGTTAATTCTATTAGTATATATAGCTAACAGTACTTTTTCCACTTTGCATACACAAAAGAAACTAGAATTTCTTGTATTTTTTATTTATTTAAAGTCAAAGCTTAACTCACACTTGCACCTATCAAAGATCTTGAGTCCGTAAAAAATCCGGGACACAGCTAACCAAAGTCCGGCAAATACAAGTTGAATGCCAATTTGATTGATTGACTTCGGCGGTGTGTGAGTATCCTCTCGTGTGTGCAAGTGTGCGATCCTGTGGCCGTGCAAAAAGCATCCTGCTTTTAAACTCCACGGCGCCTCCTCTTATCCTGTCGATTGCGATGTGGGTGTTTGAGTTCGTGTTTGCGCTGCGTCTGCCTTTTGGGCTGTAGGCAAGCAAAATGTAAAAACATTTAAGGTTTCAATTAAGTGAAATCCCAAATGGCCAAAAAAATAAATGGGCGAAAAAAGGCAAGGCCCGGCTGAAGCTCCGAATGAGTGAAGATGACCGGGAATGAGGCTGAAATTTTTCAAGCAATCAATTTGGACTCTTGAAAGTAAAGAAAGGCAAAAGGCAGACATATTTGTATACATACTATATACGTAATTTCTTTTCGGTTGGCGCTGGAGCTAGAGCTGGAGCTGGAGCTGGACCTTTAAGCCCAAAACCCTTTCTGGGCTTACGGTCGGCATGACAAACGATGGCTGCAGGAGGGGACCAGTCCTTCCATCAAATGCCAAAGTTTAGACTGTAACAGTCACTTGAGGTATATTGAGATTTATTATCCTCCGCCCGATGTGGGAGGGGATGGGTCTGCCGGTATCATTAATTATGATCGACCGGCTGGCAGCGATTTTATTTGTTTCACCCTCTTTGTCAGCCAGGTTGCAGGTCTGCAATTTATGCGTCAGCCAGCATTTCAATTTCAGTTGCAGTTTTTTTCATGAACTGCACGACACGAAAGCCAGTGGCAAAAAACTACTTTTGGGCATTGGCCAACTTTCTTTTGGGTAGTGGGTGACTGGGACTCTTCCGTTTTTGTTTGCACTGGCTTAAGAAATCAACAACTTACACTTTCTTTGGCCCAAACAGCCTCCGAGCCAGTTGTTTTGACACTTTTGGGCCAGAAGGAAAGTTTCTCCTGCCAGATGGAGGCTTTTTATAAGGGGGTGTTCTCGAAATTTCACTAAAAGAAAACAGTTTGTTGTAACTTTTTGAAAATTATACAGTAAGAAACAATTAAGGTTAAGATATTCTTTCAAAATAAAAAATGTTTAAAAGCTTAAAATTCGAAACATTTCTTATCTGCTATATATTTTGTTAATATTAAAGACCCTTTAGGCCTCCACTCGCCGATCTCCCACTTTTGGAGTACCAGTTTTTGGGACAAACTATTCGTTTTTTGGCGTTCTATCTGGCAGTCGATGCCTGGTACTCTCCACTGCTGCTTAACCCAGTTGCCAGGCAGTTTGCAGTTCGCATTTCGACGGAAATTTTATAATCAGCATTCTCGAAATAAGGAAAACTTTGCTATGTAAATTAAATGCCGAAGTCCGCAACTTTTTGCTGACATTTTTCGCTGCTCGTACTTCTTGTATGGCTAACCTACAAAAAGAAGGAAAATGTAAAAAAATAAACAAACAGAAGAGGGCCAAAACAATATACCCACATACATTCGTACACTTTTTTTTTATTGTCGCAACAGAAACGGCAAATAAATGTGGTTTAAACATGACAAGTCGCCGTGGGCTGCCAGCTCGTTATCACCAAATATTTTTGCACACGAAATGAGTGAATAAATAAGCCGGGCCCCAGCCAGTCGGGGAAAAAATAAAGGAACGTGGCGAACACGGCAAGTAGCTCCTCCTGGGATCGGACTCTAAACCGGGAGTCGGAGCTTGGAGTTTGGGGGCGTATTTGAGGCAATGCGGCCACCGACCAAAGCGGTTTGGGTCGCCCGTTTATGGTCGTCACTTTTTTGCCCGCTTGTTTGACAAATAAAACGTGAAATGTCAGCCAGTCAGCCGGTCAGTCGGTTGGCCCGAAAGCCAAACAAAAAGAGTAACCAATAAAAGCTTAATTAACTGTTTATGGCCATGGCATGTTAACAGGGCCCGCACAGACGTTCCGAAATTCGTCCTCAGTCATTAATCTCGAGTGGTGAGGGAAGCAGCAGCAAAAAAGCCCCCAAAAAATCCTAGCAGGGTCCCCAGAGAAGGTCCAGGCCCAGCTCTAATCAGTTTAATGAGCAAACAACCTCAGAAATTATTCAACTTTGATATAAACTCACAAATTTTATATCAAAGTAAACCAAAATTTTTCTATACTTTCGATCTTTGAAATCTAGTTGCCTAAAACTATCAAAAATATTCAATCCATTCGACTATACACAGATAAATTCAATAGTATAGGGAACGGAAGGGACGGCATACAGAAAATAAAAAATTTAAATTTGCACTTTTTGCACCTTTACACTTTTGTAACCTTTTCGGTAAATCGTTGGTCTACTCCACTGAGCTCTCATCCTGCATTTGAGGATCATCATGTCGGAGGAAGTCAGTTTCAGTGAGGAACTTGACATCCCAGCAGAATCGGCTAACGACAATCAGACAACGCTCCAAGTCGACCTGAAAATCGAGCCGAAACCAGAAATTCTGACAGATGCTGAGCAGAAGGATGAGCTAGAGAAACTGAAGGCAACAAAGTCAGAGGAGAAGTTGCAGAAGCCGGAAAACAATTCAGGCGACACATCGGAGGGAGTTTCCAAGGAACCAGCCGAAAAACAAGAGCCCACCCGTGTTCGGGAAAGCGATGTCCTTGGTGAGGCGCAGGATCTCGGTGGACTAGGTGACGGTCCGGATCTGGAGTCCGGCTCGTCTTTTACTTCCTGTTGCTCCTACAAATATATGCGGAAGTCGATCCTTCAGCGAGAGCCCCACTCCTCCACCTTGAGCATTAACATTGAAAACTTGGTAAACTCCTCCCCCAGTTTGCCCCAGCCGGCATCGACCACTCCTCCTCCCACAGAAGCTCTGTCCGATAGCACTGCAACATCCTCGGTTCAGTTACTAGTGGAGCAGCGCTCCTTGTCCTATACGCCAGATTGCAGTGACGATTTCGAGATCGGCATTGGAGAAGTCTACCAGAGATTTGCTTCCCTCTTTAGTCGCACGGAAATTGACGTTGCCTACTCCAATTTTACGCAGGTGGATGAGGACCTCGACGGGTACATATGCCTGTCGGAGCTCAAGAGAGCGCTAGAGAAGCTTGAAATACCGCAGACCCACTTGGCGGCCAAGAAGGTGATGACCCATGTGATTGGCTCCGACGAGGACCGCTTGAACTTTTGCCAGATGCTGCTCATCTACGGCACTTTGATGCATCGAGTAGAGGTCCAGAAATATAGCTTCCACGACAAAGTGGGTCAACGTTTGGTAATGACCGATGCCGTGGATGTCTCCCAGGTCGGCGTGACTGGAGCCCGTATCTTTTTCGAGGCCAAAATCGCCCAGCAGCAGCAGCAGGAGCCGATTGTTCTTTCCGTCTTCGATCAGGAACAGCCCGTGACCCGTACACCCCATGTCGCATCGGCGGAGATCCGGACATCCAGTTCTCATAAAGAGCAGTTCAAAGGCGTTACCTCCCTATTCAAGAAGCTCGGGAGCGACCACTGACCACTTAATGACCAGATCACCAGGCGATTCCTACATTAAACTTCACTACCGCCAAGCGTTTTCTGTCCAAAATTTACAGTCGAAATATAGAGAATAAATTAAAGTTTACTTTCTGACTTTCTCTGTGTTCCCCCATAACATAACTTCACATAAATCATTGGCCAATAAAATGCGATCCAAGAACGAAAACACTGCTTAAGTGACCAATCAAAGGTAATTGCCAGGCGGCAGAAACAATACTTTATTTTTCCATCGCCACCTGCCCACTATGCCAGCCACTTTTCAATTGTTTTCTTTTGTTATTTTCTTATCAGCAGTGCTGGTAAGTGAGCTTTTTTGAAGCCAACTGTATTTCATTTTATTTATTCCATACAATAATAAACAATATAATGCTAGAATAATGCCACAACTGGCGGAAAGTTCGCTGGGGCAACGACTCCCCGAGGAGCAAATGTGCGCCACACACGCCAAGTGGCAAGTTGTGCGACTTGGCCGGAAGTTGCTTTGGCCTCCAGGCCTCGGAACGGGACATAAAAATATTTTCGTGCAAATAATTTGCGCGCTTAACTACGCCGGTTATTTGGATACGTATTTGCATACCCTGTTGGGCCAGTGAAGGTAAGACGATCATTTGCACAGGATATCAAAAAGATGGAAGTCAGAAACCTGGCACGCCATGTAATTATGCTGCCATTAGAGGTCAGGAAAGCCCTAACAACAAAAGCAACCTTCTTGAAAGAAGGGGCTGTGTGCTAATATTTTTTTGTGCTAACAGATTTCGGCCGCCTCTCTCCAATCAGGCCAGTAACCGGTTGTTTGTACACGCCATACACAAATTAAAATGAAAGCGGACGCTGCATATACGCAATATCCAACGAATTCTGTAATAAAAATCCAACTAAAGTCATGCGAAAATAATGAGCATAAGCGTGAGCGGAAGCAGGAAGGCTAAAGTGGGCGAAGGGCATGGGGCATAGGGCGGAGGTAGGCAAGGGAAATAGTTTTCAAATTAAAATAAATGCCGCAGCTGAAACAACTTTTATGTGCCCACAGCGGGGCAAGCAAGCAACGGTGGCAGGACTTTTTCTCCGCTGCTCCACTCTCAGCTAACCAAAATGCCATGAAAGTAAATTCACTAGAAAATTAATTATGAACGACGACGATGGCGATGGCGATGGGGATGGTAGTGCTGGTGACGTCGCAAGTGAAACCAATGCAGCGTTTAGCGGAAAACCAAGGGATGCCGCAGGGTCGAAGGGCTGTCAGCTTGGGGCAAAGGCATGACCAGCCATACCTTTTAATGGCATTGCCATCAATTTCGCTCAATTGCGCGCACAATCGCATCTAATCACGTCGCAACGACCCTCCCGAAAAAACTAACAATTTTCAGATAAGAAATATGGGGTATACCCTACCAAGGGATACCACTTGGTTAAATAATTAAACTACTTTCTTCGTATATGAATATAAGTGAAAATGTGTTTTAATTTTATCATCAAAAAGTATCCTTTATTATTTGTTTGATTTATTCCTTATATAATACAATACTGGTATTCCTTTTCCAACTATAGTTCCCCTTTCAAGAAGAGGGACAACTTCCAGATACCCTGACAAAATGTTTATGGTTATTGCTTTATGGCTTCCTGCGCACTTGCGTGTGTGTGTTCGCATGCTTTTGCATGTGTATGTGAAAAGGGAAAAGGGTCACGTGTCAGATGTCATTGACATGGTTTGCCTTGCCTTTAAGCGGTAGCAAACAAGCCAACGCACAAGCACAAGCATACGCGGATGAGAGCAAAGGCATCATCGCCAGGAGGAGGCTGGTCCCCGGAAAGTGTGCCACGGTTTTTGCCTCATTTGCGCTCAACTTTTACTAGGTTCCACCACACCACCCTCTTCCATCCCCTTTTCCAGCCCTTCTGCCAATTGCAATTAGTTGATGTAATAATTTTTGGCAGCTGCGTAGGATCCATACCCGCTTGGCTCTTTCCATAATTGACGGCAACTGGGATACGTATGTATTTCTCTAGAGAAAAAAGAAAGTCAAAACAGCGGGTAGCATGGTCAGCGGCGAAAAGAATAAATAGGCACATGTCAGAACTGTCGGCGTGCCTTAAATTCAATGTCACCCGGGGCACGATGTCTTATCCTGTGTCCGGAGTTACGAGTCCTGTGTGCTTTGCATACCGAATGCCATAAAAGCGACCGCAATCGACCCTGGTCACTGACGAAAACTACATACATAATTTTCCACTTTGTACCCTTTTCACAAAGTTGTCTTCTGAAAAACCTATCGGGACCTAGGGCCCATTAACGTATCAGGTTTTCATCCCTATCAGCGTAAGCTACATATCAAACCATAAACTTGAAATTTTATTTAAGGGCTTTATTTTGGGTCGTCCGTCACCGATATTAATTATAATTTGAGTTGGTGGAGACTTTTAGCCACGTGCGAGCTAATTAGAAATTGAAATTATTCCTTTCTCTGGGAAAATCGACATTTGCTAGCAATTAAGTTTCAATCACGAAATCTATGAATTGTGACCTATCGATAACACCACAAAAAAGTTTCGATCTAGTTAACATTCTGTTACCTGATTCCGAAATGCGGCTATAAAAGGCCGACATTGCCTAAAATAATCATTACATCGTCTGAGGTTGAATAGGACAGATGTATTCAAATATAATTTTTCTTTTTTTATTTTTCCTTTATTTTATTTTTATTTTTTTTTTGTTTATTGTTTTAGTTATAAAAAAGCTTTGGTCCCTTGAACCCAATGAGCTCACGCTGCTCTAAAAAGGAGGCCGGTTCAATTTTATATTTTATTGTGATTTTTTATTTATTTTAACCAATAAAAATTGAAGCCTGATTGGACACGTGCTTGAGTTATAGTCCTCGATGTTATCAATTTTATTATTTTTTATTTGAATTTTAACCAAACTGCATTTTTTTTTAACGTATCATTGAAAGCCTGAATTAAGCAATATGTCCCTGGAGTTTCATTAAAATCGTGCTGCTTGCGATCATCCTCTAGGTTTCTTATTTACTGATTTTGTATTTTTACAGGGCTATAAATGGCCGAGATTGCCTAAAATAATCATTACATCGTCTGAGTTTAAATAGGACAGATGTATTCAAATATAATTTTCCCTATTTTATTTTTATTTTATTAACTAAATTGCCATTTCTATATAAGGGTTATATACTGGACGGCGTTGAAATAATCTGCAATCTTCACATTTTACAAGATAATTCAGAGATTTTTTATTTTTAATCCTTTATTAATTATAACCAAAAATGTGGGTCCTGATTGGTCACGGGCTTTAGTCAAAGGCCTTATTTTCTCCTTATTTTCCGATTTAAAATTTTTTTTCCTTTTTTTTGTTTATTGTTTTAGTTATAAAAAAAGCTTTGGTCCCTTGAACCCAATGAGCTGACGCTGCTCTAAAAAGGAGGCCGGTTTAATTTTATATTTTATTTTATTTTTTATTTTATTTTTTCTGTTTTTAAAAATTTGTGTTATGTTTTTTATTGTTTATTGTTTTAGTTATAAAAAAGCTTTGGTCCCTTGAACCCAATGAGCTAACGCTGCTCTAAAAAGAAGGCCGATTTAATTTAATAATTTGTGATTTTGTATTCATTTTAACCAAAAAAAATTGAAGCCTGGTTAGACACTTGCTTGAGTTATTGTACTCAATGTTATCAATTGTATATATTTTTAATGCCTTCAAAAGTAACATTTTTAATTTTACAAAAATATTCAGAGCTCTAAGTAGAACTAGTGCATTAAATTTTTGCTAATGTTTATTTCCATTTAAAAAAATCGTTCTTTTAAGTTTAAAAATGCAGAAAATGGCAGAAAATTTGAAAATTGGAGAAACAAACAAAAAAAATTAAATACAATTGCTTCATGTACTTCGAGCTGCCTTTAAAAGTTTCCTCCAACAGTTTTTGCATTTGCCTAGTTCATGTTTTTCTTAACTTTATGGCAAGAGTATTTTTGTTAGGTGGTAGCTCTGGAAAACTGAAACTATAACCCGGCTAAGGCAGCAGGAGCTGCTTTTCGATTCAATTTCCGTGTTCACAATGCGCTTGTTGCTATTTTACATAGTCAGGAAGTTAGAAGGGAGCCGAGATTGGGGATTGGAATTGGCAATGGTATGGGCCAAGTGCCTCGCTGGTTTATTGAAAGCATTGGCAGCTTCTGGCGTAGGCGTGACTCGGTTTCTTGTTCTCTGCAGAAAGTTTCTTTAGCCCATATTTTGCCTTAAGTAATTCGCGCACATTGCAAGATTTATGCACTCGGCACAGGCAAAAACTTTGGCTGCAGTTTTATTTCCCATTGCTGTTGAAATGCAACCGGGGATTAAGTGGGTTTGGCTCGCTACTGACTAATATTCGGTTATAGAAGTCACGACAAGCTTTCTTTTATAACAGAATGTACTTTAATTTAAAGTTTATAAAAACTATTTTGTGATTATATTATAATATATTCAGAACATTTTACAAGGCTTTGCCCAGCAAATTGCTGCTGTCCATTGGACTTAAATCTCATATTATTAATACCCTCACCCCTCTAGAGTCCTATAAAGTTCAAATCATAAGACAACTTAACCGTATCCACTAAACATGAACTGCAAAAACGTTTTAAATCAAGGGTACTCGTCTTACTCAACTAACTTACTTATTCCTTATATCCGTTTTACCCTTTTTTGGGGCTCCGCAAGAAAACAGAAACTTCCGGCTGCATATCAATAACGAAATAAACTTGTTACAACCCAAAGCTGCGGAGGAAGAAAATCTGCAGAAATCGAAAAACTTGGTAGAGATTGAAATGCATCGTTTAGCGCTGAACAATTTTCGAGACTGGAAACGAAAGCAGCGAGATGATGAAGGATCAGGTTGTTCGTGGCAAACAGACAACCTAAATGAAATTAAGTGTAAAATTATCAAAGTTCCCAGCAAGCTTCCCAATGTCATGATAACGCAATAAAAAATTTGTGGAAGAAGTTTGGGGAGAGTAAGGAAGACTGTAGGGAATGGAGCAAATCTGCCCGCCACCAATCTATGCAACATTCATTTTTCTTTTGTCATACGTAGAACCCGCCCGGGTTT